ACTTTTTCTTCATGAGGTGATGTTTATTGTTTAGTTCAGGTCTCATCACAATGATAAAACACTTGGGAAGAAAGATACACACAAATAAGTCAGCACTGGAGGAGATCATAGCGAAGATCTCGACTGCCAGCATATATTTTCCCCTTGTGCTTAGATAGGTTGGAATAAAGCACAGCCAAACACTGCAGAAGACCAACATGCTGAAGGTGATGAATTTGGCTTCATTGAAACTGTCAGGTAAATTCCTAGCTAGAAAAGCAGCAGAGAAGCTAAGCAGAGCAAGAAAACCCATAAAGCCCAAAACACAGTAGAACATGACCGAGTCTTCATTGCACTCCAGGATGACTCCTTCAGACATTGACTGTGCATCAAAATCTGGATATGGTGGGGATGGGGTTTTGATTTTTTTTGTAAGTTTTTTTTAAAAATTTACATAAGCAAACACATAATACATCAATCCTTCCATGTTTCATCTCGATGTTTCTTCAGTAACCTTCTTTTTGATTACACCTCCTATCTTCATTTCTTCCCTTATAATTTCCATTTCTCTATTACAATATTTTCCCCCAAATACAATACATTTAATATAATATTCTCTTATTTTGTTATCAAAATCTTTATCTATTTTTCTTTTCCAACCAATCATAAAATTTTCCCCATATCTTAAAATATTATGTATTTTCTCTCTCTTTAATCATCAAGGTTAATCTACTCATTTCTGCACAGTCTAAATTTTTTTTAATAACTTCCCCTTCCAACTGAATTTTCTCTACTTTCCATCTTTGTGCAAATACTATCCTTGCTGCAGTTATTATATGAATAATCAAATATACATTTTCTTTATTAATTTTCTCTGGTAGCATACCCAGTAGGAACAGCTTCAGTTTTAAATCAATATGTTGTAGGGTCATTTTCTCTTACCAAATCTTAATTCTGTTCCAATAGACTCTAGCTTCTGAACATGTCCACCACATATGATAATAAGATCCTGATTTTTGATGGCATTTCCAACATTTAGCTGATTTGTCTTTAAACATTTTTGCCAATTTTTCAGGGGGCATATGCCATCTGTAAAACATTTTATATTGATTCTCTTTGTGGACATTGTTAATTTATAGTTCCTTTCCCATAACTGTTGCCATCTATCGAGCTCAATTGAGTATCTGCAATTTTTTGCCCAAGCAATCATTGTTTCCTTTATTTGTTCTTCTTCTAATTCCATACTAAGTAGAAAATTATAATTTCTTTTTATTATTTTAACCTCTGTTCCCATGAGTATCCTATGATACTCATTTCTAAATAAAAGCCATATAATGTTAGATCTTTTTCATATCTTGCTTGTATTTGCATATACATATACTAGTCTATCACAATCCCTTGTTCTTCTAGTTCTTCTTTCCCTTTCAGTTCCCCCTTATCTGTAAGTAAATCTTTATATCTAAAAATCTTTCCAAAATTAACCATATTTGGGTGTATCAATGCTTCTATTGTTGATAACCATATTGGAATTTTCAAATAGTATTTATCTCTAACTTTCTCCCACACAGATAACAATGCATTTCTTACATAATGTCTATGAAAATATATCTGTATCTTACTTCTACCATACCATAAAAATGCATGCCATTCCAATTGTAAATTATGTGCTTCCAAAATTAGTAATCTTGTATTTCTTAATTCAATCCATTCCTTCATCCAAGTCAATGCTGCTGCCTGATAATATAATTCCTAGTTTGGCAGTCCAAAACCTTGCCTTATTCTTGCATCTTGTAACATCTTTATATTAATTCTCACCTTTTTCCCCTGCCAGATAAACTTCCTCATTATTTTGTTGAGGTGTTGAAAATAGGTTTTTTCAATTTTTATTGGAATTGTCTGAAATAAAAACAATAATTTTGGTAATATGTTCATTTTGATTATTGCCTTTGAGTGAGTGATAACTGCAAAGTTTTCCATTTTTCCAAATCTTTCTCAATTTGTCTTTTTAAGTTATAATAATTGTCCTCATTTATCGTTGCATATCTTGAAGTTAGTTGTATTCCTAAATATCTTACTTTTTCACAATTTGTATGTCTAATTTTTCACTAATTCTCTTTTTTGTTTTTCTGTAATATTTTTACCAATATTTTTGTTCTTTATTTATTTATTTTTAAACCTGCAACCTCTCCATATTCTTCTATTTGTTCTAGTAGTTTAGGTCCTGTCTTTTGTGGTTCTTCCAGAATAAATATTAAATCATCTGCAAAGGCTTGTAATTTATATTCCTCTTTTTAAATTTTCTTTTTTTTCATCTATCTATCTATCTATCTATCTATCTATCTATCTATCTACCTACCTACCTACCTACCTACCTATCCATCCATCTTCTATCTATCTATCTATCTATCTATCTATCTATCTATCTATCTATCTATCTATCTATCTATCTGTCATCCATCTATCTATATTTATGTATCCCTGTCATCTAAATCTATCTATCTGTCTGTCTGTCTGTCTGTCTGTCTGTCTGTCTGTCTGTCTAGCTAGCTAGCTAGCTAGCTAGCTAGCTAGCTAGCTAGCTAGCTATCATCTTTCTTTTTTAAAAAAAAATCTTTATTAAATATTTACAATAAAATTAACACACAGTAATGGTTGAAAAGCAATATAGGAAGCGAAACATAGAAACACCTAAACACAGGACTAAAATCAAACAACAAACAAGACTAACTGAGAGTTAAGCTCACTCTACAATTAATATTAACTAATATCATCCTAGCCAAACATTTCAATGCAATCAAGTTCTTTTTACTAACTACAAAACAATTGGTCTGTTTTTATCAAAATTATAAAGTTATAAAGCCTAGTAAATATCTAGTTAATCTAATTAGAAGATATTATCACCCTTCTCCTAAGTTTAACCTTCTTTTGAGCCAAACAAAACATCTGTCCCAACTTCTATTATATACTGAATCTTTCTTGTCTTTTAAGATATACATTAGTCTGTCCATCTCAGCACATCGAAGAACCTTGTTTATTATCAGATGGTCAGGGGGCGTGTCTGCATCTTTCCACAGTTGAGCAAATGCCATTCTCGCCGCTGTTGAGACATGGACAAATATATACCAATCCTTCTTATTGATGTTGTCCGGTCTTATTCCGAGTAAGTAGAGGTCTGGGTGAAGAGAGAAGCTCACACCTGTTATTTCCAACAACCACTACTGTATTTTCCCCCAATAGTGTCTAGTGACGGACAAATCCACCACTGATGGAAGAAAGTACCCTTGGCCAACCCACATTTCCAACATCTGTCAGAGGATCCTGGGGTCATCTTAGCGATTCTGGCGGGGGAGAGGTACCGACGATAGATCATTTTATAAAAGTTTTCTTTGAATGGGGAAGAAAGGGTCAGTTTCATAGTTTTGTTCCATACAGTACATTTTGCCATGCATCAAGCTGAATTGTTGTTCCAATATTTCTCCCCCAGGTAATCATCGTGTCATTTACAATTCTGTCTGCCATAAAATTGGACAGAAGATTGTAAACGTTGGAAATAAATTTCCTTTGGCCATCTAGGACAAGCTTGTCAAACGTTTATAAATGAAGGGAAATACCATGTTCCTGTTTATCCCTAGCAAATTTAGTTTGAATTTTCACATAGGACCACCAGTCTATGTCTAATCCTCTAGTTTGGAGATCGGCTCTAGGTCTAAGTCTCCCGACTTCATCCAGCAAGTCACCATAAGCCCAATTCCTCTTTATATTGTGCATAGTCGGAAGAGTCTCTGCCTCTAATGGAGACACCCACTTAGGAATCTGTGTGTAAACTTGCTTCTTCACCGTTTCCCAAACCCTTAATAAAATTCCTCTGATATAATGATTAGTAAAGTGTTTGGATTGTTTGTCTTTCTGAGACCACAAGAAGGAATGCCATCCCCGCTGCAAATCATATCCTTCAATTGCCAAAATGCACTTTCTTGAGAGGATCACCCAATCTTTTATCCAAACCAGGGGTGAAGCTTGGTAATAAAGCTCCCACATAGGGAGCCCCAAGCCACCCCTTGTTTTGTGCTCTTGCAGCATTTTTCTTTTTATATGAGGTTTTTTACTCTGCCAAATAAATTTGCTTAGAATTTGATCTAATTTTCTAAAAAAGTTTTTATCCAGTCTTGCAGGAGCCATTTGGAATAAAAAAAATCCATTTCGGTAAAACATGGGCTTTTATTGCGGCAATTCTACCCAAAAATGAGATCTGAATATGCCGCCATCTTTCAACTTCATTCACTGTATCTATCAATAATTTGGAATAATTGAACTCCTTGATAGAAGAACATCTATTTGTAAGCCAAATACCTAAGTATTTAAGTTTTTTGACACAATCCCCATAATACTTTGGATCTGTTCCTTTTTGGCACTTGAAAAATTTTTAAGCAGCGGTGAAAGAGGGCATCCTTCTCTGGTACCTTTATAAATCTGTATCTCATCTGATAGTCATCCATTAAACAGTAATCTTGCCAACTGTTTAGAATAGATGGCTTGAACTGCCCTTGTAAATTGAGACCCAAAACCCATCACTTCCCATTGTTGTATTATAAAATTCCAGTTGACTCTATCAAAAGCCTTTTGGGCATCCAGAAAAATCATTACCATTGGTTTATCAAGGTGTGTCTCATAGTATTCTAAGACGTTCAATATTACCCTTAAGTTATCTCAGGTGCCTATGAGGTAGGAAACCATTCTGATCTTGGTGGATAAATCGGGACAGGAACACCCAGAGTCTCTCAACTAGTATTGTCGCAAAAATCTTGTAATCCACATTCAGGAGCGAGATTGGCCTATAGTTCTGAATATGAGTTTTATCTGTATCGGGTTTTGGGATTAGGGAAATATAGGCTTCCTTCAAGGACCGGGGTATCCTAGAGTATAATAAAACCTCATTAAATAGATCTTTGATGTACAACTAAGTGAGTCAAAAACTCCTTTATAAAATTCACTAGGAATCCCATCCGGTCCCAGAGTCTTGCCATTGGCTTGTTTCTTGATAGCTTCTGCTATTTCCCCAACTGTAATTTCTGCATTTAGAATTTCTTTACAGTAATCCGGAATCATCTCCAATTGTAGGTTCTGGAGATAACTCTTAACTTTATCTTCCTGATGAATTTCTTGGCTATATAAGGAGGTATAAAAATCTTGGGCCACCTTTGCTTTTTGCTCTGCAGTACCTACCAAATTTCCCATAGAGTCCTGTAAAAATTCAATCTTTCTAGATTCTGCCTCTTTTCTTAATCTACTGTATATGACAACCACCAGCCCGGCTTGTTAGCATGCTCAAATTGGCTTTGTTGACATTTCCGAATTTTATTCGCCAAATCGTTTTGATCTAGGATGGATAACTCATGCCTAATCAGATCAATTTTCTCCTTAATCAAATTATTATGTGGATCTAAACACAGCTCTCCTTCAGCTTTCTCCAATTCAGCCATTAATTCAATCTGTTTGGCCTTCTCCTTTCTCCATTTGATAGCTGTATATTTTATTATCAATCCCCTAACTACTGCTTTGGCAGTATCCCAAATATTTTGAATGGAAGTATCTTCTCTCTTGTTTTCGGCAAAAAAATTATCTAATTCTTTTTTAATCATATTTATAAATCCCTCGTCTTTCATGATCTCAGCCCTCATAGACCATCTGGCTCTTCTAGTGGACCCCTTCCATTTTATTACCAGGGGGTGGTGGTCTGCCCATATCCCTATTTCAACCGAATTTAAGCCTTCTTTCAAATCTGATATTGACCAAACCATATCTATCCTGGACCACGATCTATGCCTGGGGGAGAAATATGTAAAGTACTTTTGCATAGGATAGAAGTCTCGCCAGACATCTCTTAACCCTATTTCTGTTCTTAGGTTATCCCATGTTTTGGAGAGTACCTTCCTATGCCCTTTTTTGTATTAGGAGAACCCCTTCCTGGATCATAATCAATTGAAGTATCAACAATTGTGTTGAAGTCACCTACTATGCATACATGCTCATAATTTAATTCATTAATTTTCTTATGCAAATCTTTAAAGAAACCCATTTGATTAACATTAGGGGCATATATATTTACTAAATACTATTTTTTGGCCAATACTAATCTCTAACATCAGTGTCCTACCCTCTGTATCTGCATATATTTGATGTTTCACCAGGTCTCTCCAATCGTAAACAACAACTGCTCTTTTCTTCTGGTCGGCCAAGGATACATACAACTTCCCCAGTTTAGGATAAATTAAAATCTTAGAATGGTCTTTCCTTATATGGGCCTCCTGTAAACATAGAATATCGTAATTATCTTTTTGAAGTTTAGCCCAGACCTTTTTCCTCTTAGTGGGAGTGTTCAGGCCATTAATATTAATGGAGAACAGGTGGAGCACCTCATCCATACCTCTACTTACCTGCGTTCTTGTGTTTCTGGGATCTGGTCTCGATTTGGAAATTTGTTCCCCTTTCTTCTCCAGATTGAGCTGAATCTTTATCATGTCCCATAGGTTCTGTGGCTGTTGTTTCCTGGGTTACCTCTTCTTGGCTCTTACCTAGGTTACCACTTTCACTCTCTTGGTCACTAAGATTAGTATAGGCCTCTGTGAAATCCTGCGCTTCCTGTACGGTTTCCAGTCGTAACCTCTGCTCTTTCCAGGTAAACGTCAGGCCTTCTGGTAGAAGCCAGCAATAACGTATCCCTTGTTTCCTCAGCCATGTTGTCAAAAAATCATCTTTCCTCCGAATGTCTCATACTCGTCTCGGGAGCTGGGGCAATACTGTTAGTCGGTTATCTTTGTAGGTAAAAGCTTGGCCCCTTGTTTTCCAAAACACTTCATCCCTTAGTGCTATTCTGGTAAATCGAACATGGATCTCTTTAGGGAGCTTGTTGCACCAAGCATAACTAGTATATACTTGGAACACATTGTCAATATCTCTTGAAACTTCTGCAAAATCTCTTCCAGTAATTCCTGCAACGATCTCTCCCATTAGTACGTCCAGGTGCTCATCTTTCTCTTCAGGGACATTCTGAAACCGTAAGAAATAGCCAGAATGATCCATTTCAAGGAAGATAATCTCTTCCTCAATTTTTTATTAGCTAAGGCATGCCGGAGTTCGAACCGCTCCATCCTACAGGTCACTTTTTGGTCTTTATCTCATAGCTTGAATCTGTTCCTCGTGATTAGTCAAAGTATTTTGAACCTCCTCAAACTTTGCATGAAACAGCCTTGTCTCAGTAGTTAACGTTTCAACATTCCTCTTCAGCTCTTCCAAGGTCTTTGACATTGACTCTTGATTTTTAATCAACGTCTCCTGTATAGACTGGACAATGTCTTGCATCAATGCTTTGCCCGGAGTAGCCACATCTTCAAACGATCTTCGTAACATCACAGAGGTGGTGGCTGGAGATGAAGTTGAAGAGGTCGTAATTGCCTTCTTCTTCAAGGTAGTAGTCGTGGTAGCCATTTTGGATATTCCTAAAAAGTCTTTCCAGGCAATCATACAACACCAAATGGTTTCACCACCTGTTATCAAATTTCACTCTTGCTTCGTTATGTCCAAACCACACTAAGAGTAAATTTACTCACTAATTCCTACTGGCTACCTAAAAGGAAATAGGAAAGGAAAAGGAAAAAAAAAAGGAAGGTCCACTGTGATGAGTCTAGGTGCAGTTAGCAATTTTGGTTACTAGATGGCAGCAAATACCAACTTCTCTAGTTCCCCTAATCTTCTTGCAGTCAAAGCAAATCCAAAAATGAAAGCTCATGCAAATGGCGTTCTTTGCAACAGAAAATGTTAATCCTGAGTCAAAGATAGGAAAATCAAAGGAAGCACATCACTCTTTCATTCAAGGTCCGTGGAGAATCACATTCCCAAACAGTAGGTCAAAATTCAAAATTCACCAATTGTAAAAACAGGATGAAATCAGATCGCAATAATCACTTATAATCCAAGGTTGATAATCTTCTCAGACTGCCAACCAACTTCACTGCGATCTTACTCAGTTTAGGCTCTGAGAGTAGGAAAGTTTTTAAACTCCACTACCTTACGGCTTCCAATCGAATCACAGTCTCAAATTACCAATTGGGAGTCATTCTTTTAGTTTGGCTGGGATGAATAGACTTCCTCAAGCAGTATAGCCACAGCCTCAGGGCGCCATGACAGGCATCCTCTCACTGTGCCGACATCGGGGAGATTCTTCAGTCTCTTCGTGCAGCCTGCACTTTCCGCATGGAGCTGGCAAGCTCCCCTCTTTTCCACCAAGCTTTCCCGCTCAGTGGTGGCTTCAAAGAAGCTTCAATGAAGCAGCCAGGTACATTGAACAGTGAACAGAGAATCAGCTCGGGAGAAGAATCCCTTGCCTCTTCCAGCTACTGTGATGTTACAGGAAGTCTGTTTTTAAATTTTCATCCATTTTATTTCTTCATTCCATCTTATATTTCTATTTTACACTTCTAAAATCAATATGAATAACAGTGAGGATAGCAGACATCCTTGGAAGAGAGGAGAAGGGAAACTACGACTATATAAGTGAGATTCTGGTTGTTGGCTTTACAATGGGAGTATCTTTATGTTTCATGAAGATTGTGATGACCAAGGTTGTCATTAAAGAAAAAACAAAGGGAAAAAATAGTCAGACTGATCCCTAAGGGTTCTTTATAAGACAAAAAGGTTATCAGCACATCTCTTTGCTGGGATTTGGATATTGCTCTTCTGGGCATAGAGAATAGTCATCTATATCTGAAAAAGAATGCAGGTGAGTTGATATAGGAAATTATACTGTTGGCTTAATCCCATTATATTTGAAAATTTCCTATCCTTCTCCTTTGATATTTTCCCCTCTGGACATAGACGGCAATCATAGAAACAAAACAACACTCCTTCTTTCTTGGCCTTGCTGTGTCCTGTCTCACAAGGATCATTACAAAAAAGTAATGCCTATAATGAATGGAGAAGAATTTTTAAGATACAATGTGGAAAGGATGTGCATGGAGAGATACTTTTTGTATGGAATCAATAGATGGAAAATGAAATAGTGTAGTGACATAATTTTAGATATAATTGGTCTGAAATACTAATTAAATATCTACAATTATTAATATTTATGGCTTTCGATAACCATCATCACCACTGTCCAAAGACAACTTCTATGCTGGTTAATTAAATTTAGTTTTCGCAACCTCTGAACTTTGAAGTCAGCAGACTGATCTAGAATGCTGGCTTGCAGCTTTTACTTTGAAACCATGAAAACGATTGTTCATAATTAAGAGGGAGGCAGGAAAGGATACAATTGTTTTGACCTAGGCTTCCTGATACAGTAAAAGCACACAATGAGTCCCAAAACCCTCTTTTTATTTCAATGGCTGTGAATTCTGCTCATTCAGAGCCTGTTCATTCTCAATCTTTTCATTCACAGATAAGTCCCAAATAGTTGTAAAGAGTCCGACAGAAGTCTGCCACAGATATGCAATGAGAAATAAATTACTTATAGAGGTGCATGTAAGATTTACCAAGAAAGCAATAGAAACAGACATATTACTGATGGCAAGGAATAGCCCAATAAAATCCAATTCACAGAAATAGTGGTGCTAAAATAAATACCTAGAAGAGTAAGAGATTTGAGAAAAGAATATCAGTTTTTGACAAAGTGTTTAATCAAAAAAGAGTGAGCTTTCACTGGTTAATATCAGAAGGAATATTGGTGAATTGGCAGGAACAAAGACCCAGACTTGATTCCATAGAGAAAGCGGAATTATTTTATGAGCAATATTTGGGGCTACTAGAGGAGGAAAGATCGAGAGAGGAAAAAGAGATTAGATACCAGGAATAAGCTGTGAGAGAAAAAGAGGAACAAACAAGAGAGAAGGCAAAGGAATGAGAAGAAAGAACAAAAAGAGAAGGGGCAAGATCAAAAGATGTTAAAGATCAAAGAGAGATAAGAACAACAAGATCAGCAAAAGCTAGTAAAAAGTAAACTATGAAAGAAGAAATAAAAGCAATTTCAATAAATATCAATGAATTAAATTTGGAGATGAAAAGGGAAAGAACTCTTAACAAATTAGATAAACTGAAAATGGACATAATATGTTTACAAGAAGTCCATATTAGAAAACAACATAAAAATTCTTGGAATATTCAAAATTGGGAGAATTATTTACTGCACTAACATATCAAAGTAAAAGAGGTGTATACAGAACTGGGCTACAATGTCTGATATCCCCATTCCTGGTCAGCTAGCAAGAGACAAAGGCTCCTTCTCCTCCAGCTAATATGTTATGAATGTGGACATATTTACATTTCTGAAGATCATATGAATGGTCTTGAATGACAGGAGGGAGAGACACTATCAAGGCAACAGTCAAATAAGAAGAGCTTTAACCTTGACCAGGGAATATGAATTGAGAAAACATTTCAGAGAAGCTATACTACATCAAACAAAGACTAAAATTGCTGTTAAAAATGTGGAAGTCCAGCATAAGGCCAGGATATGCTGATAATTCTGAAAAAATATTCTGTAAAACAATTTTTAAAAATACATTAAGAAAAGTCCGTTTCACATTATGTGCCTTGCAATCCTTCAGTCCAGCATATTTTGTGGAATGAGTTTAATAATTCTTATTTCTATGTTCTAGTATATGACAATGGTCCACTACCAAACCACAGTATTTAAGAATCACTTATATGCAGAAGGAAATTGCTATATTTTCGTTCCAGAAATATCAATGAAAAAACTTATCATGGGAAATACGTGCTTCATTTCCTCTTTGCTGCCATTAGGGCAGAAAAACTAAAGAAGATTTTACAGGCATATATACATGAAGACCAAGCAGGCTTTCTGTCAAAAATACAGGTAAGAGATAATGTGAGGACTTTCTTAAATATTATTGAATACTTACAATATCATATTGAGAAACAGGCAGCCTTAATATTTTTAGAGGAATAGAATAGATTAGAACAGAGTAGAATAGAATAGAATAGAATAGAATAGACTAGAATAGAATAGAATAGAATAGAATAGAATAGAATAGAATTACAGTAATGCCCTTACATATACATATATTTACATCTTTATTTCACTTTATGGATCTAATTATTTTATTTTTTGTCTTGTGGCTCATGCGTTCCTGCCTCTACAAGTCCTCACATGTTTTGAAGTTGTTCACATATTTGACCGTCTTACTATCATTATGAAATTAGTCAGTTTTCTCTTCCAAATCCTATGGGACTCCATGAAAATAGGAGCAACTAACACTTAATAATGGTATTTATTGTCCACATCCTATTCCAACCCATGGCTGGGAGTCCCAAAGCTCTGTGGGTTGATATGTTAGTATGTTGTACTCTCTAGTTTTCTCTGAAAAACATCTCTAGAAGGCAGATCAGTCTGATCTACTTCAAAGATTTTTTTGAAGACAGAGGCATTTGTACACAGAAAGAAGACACTCATGGAAGATGTTAGTATTGGTGAAGTTGCTGTTGATAGCATTGCCTGAAATGGTGTGCAA